TTATAGCGTATTGGGTATGCAAAAAAACGCAAAATCGCGAACTTCCAAAGGCCATAACTTCGAAACTAAGTCCGACCGATAAATTCTGATTGCAACATTGTTCTTAAATAGAAAACATTAGTCAGTTCCAAAAAAAAAAAAAGAAAAATTTGCATGGGGCAGTAAAGTGGATTAGTTCCTATTGTTTTATTTTTAAAATTTTTTTAGTACGTGTTAAGTAACTAACTGATACACACATACATTCCAGATTCATCGATTGTCACAGATAACTTATTACAGATACTTCTGATAGCAGTATCAGACACTGAAATTAAGAAATTATGTTCATTTATTTCTTCTCCCCACAAACATAGTAGGTACCGATGTAGGTGTAATCTCTCTCGTCGACATGACTGTCTATTAATTATGAACATTTTCGACACAAACTATTTCAACACAACTTCCTCACAACCACAATCCAATGTTAGCAAAACATTTGCAGAAACAACCACAAATTCATTATTGACGAAGAAAGATCAAACTATACTATTTAATACAATTGAAGATATCCCTCAAATCGAATACATAAAAGCATTCAGTTAATCAACAATGCCTAATAATACAGAAACTGCATCACGTATATTTCTATTAAAAAGTTTCGTATACACTTTTCCAGCAATAATACTTTGATCTGCAATCAAATAACAACATTTTCAACTTAATGATAGAAATCAAATTATGTCACCTAATCAGAGCTTAAATTAAAATGTAAGCAATATGTAAAACAAATGTTTATTAATAACTAATGACCAAGTAGCTGATGTTTTAAGTTCAATGCGAAAAAAAAATAAAAAAATATTTTCACTATAMTAACTAATAAGGAATGACTATGAATGTATTAAAAAGTGATAATCATTTTAAAATGTGAAACTCGTAACAACTGTAATATTTTATCGACATATATTATCCTAGGGTTATGATTAATGAGTATAAAATACTAATTTAACCTAGGTTTTTAGAAAACATATGATATTTGTATCACTTATTTTTTAACCCAAATACACTGATGTTTTAAAAGGCTTCGTTAAGTAAGTTTCATTATTTGAATTTAAAATCGAATTAATTCATTTAAACTTGCTCATATTATAATAATAGTAKTGATATATATTTAATTTTTGGAAATGTATATGATACTCATTTATGTAATAAATAAATTATAATAAAGGTTAATATAGTTAATTATATAATTTAATTAAAAGTCAAGCATCAAAATGTTATATATTTATATATAATATACAGATTAAAATAAAACTAATTTTTTTTTTTTATGTATTGATCAACAAATATTTAAAATACCTACTAATAATTACTCAAATGATTTTAAAAAAATGTAACATTGTCTAAACTTTAAGTTATATAAAATTTGATGGGTTGAAATATAACTATGTTGACGTATATTAAAAACTCAGATATTAACTTATAATGTAATAACTAATAAGTAATAAGTAATAATAAATTACTTTATTTAAATAACTCGAACTCAAATATTTAATCATTTAAAGAAACAGACATTTTTAGTTAATTTAAAGTGCATGGTTTCATTATTATTTAATTTAAATATTCTAAAGATAGAGGAATAATAATAACCTTTTGTTTTTCTAAATGTTATTATAAAAAAATCATCTTTTTAGCTTTACACGTAGATAATCATTTTCGTAACATCTGTTGTTTTTAAAACAAAAACATCTTTATCCAATACAGGCTTAAATTAGCATAGATTACTTAGTTTTTTGTGTCCTAAATCAATATTATTAGACTACAGAATGTCGAATCTTGATTTTTATTTTACACCTGAAATGGATATAATATTATCAAATGTCTACTTCAAATATTATTTTATTAGATTGTACAAACGTCAAACACCCTCATTTACGATACACACACGCACATTAACTATATATTTTTTATATGTCAAAGTCRCTCAACTCCTGCAGTATGTGATTTTTTAGTTTATATTAGACGACTTGCAGTTATTCAAATGTGTCCCCAAGGCATGTTCTATAAGTTTTACTCGGTCAATAACGAGTATGTTTTATCGTCATAATACTATTATTTTACAACCATTATATCCTTCTTTGTTTATACTTTATAATATACAACTGTTATTTGTTATTTTAAAAACGTTCTTTCCCCATAAATAATTTATCATTTTGGATCGTTTTATAATTTTAATTAAATCAAATGCAGCTGCACATGCTAGTAGTTATTAAATATTGCTATACATATTAAATTCAAAATGGATGAACATTTTTTAAATATGATAGTTTTATTTTCATGTGAAAATTATATGAACGGAAATTTAAACTTGTGCTATACCTTATACGAGTATATCATTCTCATAAACTTAATTTGGGTAAAAATGCAATGGTGTGACTATTGACTGATCACTTGTTGATTTCAAAAAACTTCAAACTATATTGATAATATGTAGTAAATGCCATGATCACTAATAATTCTGGTTGSCAGTCCCCAAATTTTAATGAATTATTTTATGCCTTGAATTATACAAGATTATTAATACAAGTTCTCGTACTTCTTCCCATAATTAAGCGACGAATTTTTTTCCTTAAATACTTTAGTACCTATAAAGTTACAGTTKKATATGACATTTTTGTAGTTATAGATGAGCTGACAATGCCTGTCATCCTTAATTTTCTGTATAATTTTTAATTAATATATTATATTCATAAAGTGTATTTGATTTTTTCATTACTGAAATTATGGAAAAATATGGTTAGTTATGTGTAAAAAACTATCACTAGTCGTTTTTGTAGTGTGTAACGTTTTTATTTATTTGTTACTGTTATGTATGCCATTKTGATAAAACAATAGGTAGATTACTTATCATAAATACAGAAAAAATATTCATACTTTATTAAAAATTAATACAAGCAACTTTTACATGATACATTCTATGATGCTACAACAACGAAAATGTGTGTTTTTATCACTCACATTATCATTACACACCCCTATGTGACACACTCCGCCAGAGYGCGTCTCTAACTACCGCTTATTCAATTATATATTCTTGTCTTGGCGATGCAGTCACTTACAAAAACAAATAAAACATATTTCTAACACTTCTAAACTATTGTTAAATATGCTTACTAATCTAAAATTAGCGCAAAGGTTAATGATACCGAAGCTGTTAAGTGATATCTAATATAAAACCTCATGAACTTTTTTTTTCCTATTTAGAACCGACAGCGGAGAAGGGTCTGTTTGCACAATATTACTCCTCTGCTGCCATCGTTTATTAATGAAAAACATTTAACACAAAACTTAACAAATGAATATAMCTACTTAGCGCAAGTAATTAACATCAGAAATCTTCTGCACTTCTTCACCTAATACTAAACAATATAGTTAATAATTATGATATGATATCAGTCCCGTTCGTCAATTCTATTCTCGGCCCCCGCCTGTCTGGAATCCCGTTCTGCTGATTTATCAAAGGAAGCTCAGTCGTTTAGAGCAGCTCTTGCTTCAGTCTCAGCTAGCCTCTCATMTTTTTCTTTGCATCTAAGAATGTCTTCAACCATTTCATAAAAACTCACGAACTTAAACACCAATACTCCGCGACCAATATAATTAATAAACTGATCGATTCCAATATGGCTGGACATTTACCAATCCAAGAAATCTTACATAAACCATCATGACAATGATTTTAGTCTCGCGAACCAATATTGAATGATGTAACAATAGCTTATCCCTTATCCTTGCAATTAACCTTGGGAACTCTTAAAAGATCAGATGGAGTTACTATATAAAATACGTTATAGCCCTTACAAACAAATATATCTAAAAKTATMTCTATCAGGATGAAAACTCACAAGAAATGTTTGGTGCCGACTAAATAAGATCATAATTGGACATGTATAATGAAAAGAAATTCTRTTTAAATGGACAATGACAGATTTCCCAAATTACGACTGTGGTGATCTAATACAGCTAATGTCATACATATTCAGTTTATGTTCCAAGAGGAAGTTTGACAGAAATGGCAACGGCATCATAAATTCCACTTCTAAACTAATGAATTAGATCTCGGAACTAGAAATTGACCTACCTAGGTTTAATACCTATAAGTGTAGTTTATTTTCATGAAACATTATTATCGTATTTTACATTTTTGAAAAAATGTTAATTTTTCAGTTTTACTTCATCTTAAAAATATTTTAATGATACTTTATATTTATGTCACATGTTTAAAAGCCTTGAAATACTTTTTTATGCCATAAAAAAAATAAAAAAAATAATTAAACAACAAAATAAGTTTGTATAATTGTTTAAAAAAAAGAAATCATAAATATGTGTATAAAAGTCGTACGTGAGTGGAAATACTCCAAAATAAAAGGTGAGAAAGTCTACTTAACCAAGCGCTCTGAAATGTAAAATAACKGGTTTTCTTGTATAATTGTGAAACAACGCCGTCTTTATTCTATCCTCTTCATTCATTTAAAAACTATTAATAATTTTAGACCGATATTCTAACTACAAACAATAATAATTTGTACAAATTGTGCGTATGTATGAAAAGCGAACTAACAATGGATATTTTTCGATACCGATTTAAAATTTATAACATGTTTCACACTGTCTAAAAGAAATGTATATTTTAGTCATTTGATCGTAAATATAATTATGTGACCGTTTTATCGTTGCTAGTATTTATTCAACGTATAAGTCAAAACTGACGTGTTCAGCAATAAATTGAATAATAATTCTAGCTCCACCTACAAATGGTGGACTCAAAATTATATTCTACTAAAGAATGTACAAATAATAAATATTATCATTCTTGCAAATGGGTTGTGTAACGTATTCAAAGCATTACATGAAATATACCTAATTGAAAACTACTCGTAAATAAAACTCGTTAATCGTTTAACTTATACGTATCTACTACACGCCGTAATTTTTTTTATTGATCTTGAAAATACATCGGCCACTTGAAAATGAATTTATATTTTACTTTAAAGATATCATATCACGCTTGAATTAAATAAAATTAAGTTCATATAAAATGTCTTGTGGGTTAGGTCCTAATGCCTTGGATATGTAACATGGTTGCGGTACCTAAGGTTCGAATTATTGTCATTCTGAGAACATATTGTGGTCATAATCTCTAATATATATAGGACCTATATTATAGGTAGATACTACATGACTCAAAGAAAATATCCCTTATTAGTTATTTGCGAAAAAAATCGTTTAAAACATCAACTAAAATTAATGTAAATAATAATTTCATAAAATTTAACCTACCATAATATATATTTATTTTTACTTGTATCATGTACATATGATGGTCGTAAGACGTTTCGTATAAGGTGTTTGGGAGGGGGGGGTGGATACCAACCAATCTAATTGCAGTAACGATAAAATCCCTTTAAATACATTCAATGTAGTTCATATATTATCATTTACGAGATCATATTATTACATAGTGTGGTGTAGAAGCAAATACATCCGTGAATAACGAAATGACCGGCGAGTGTGTGCGGTTAATGTTTTCGGCAATTAATGATGCWCGATGGGAACTCACCATTTTATCTCTATAAGCTAGGTTGGTGTTTTATAACGTACTACGTTACGTGCAATATTATAATATTAATATTATCACGATTCATTACTATGCGGTGCGYCAGTGATACCTATACATCATAGCATTGATATCTACTCTATAATTATTAGCTGCATCCTATTTAGCTATCAAACAGTATAATATTAATTATTTATTAGGTAGGTACCTATTTTTATTTAAAAAAAAATTTTTTCCCACCAATAGGAAAATACAAATCTGGACCTCACGGTCATCATACCTGGACCATGTCTGGTAAATCTCCTGCGGCAACCCGGACAACAGCAGCAGCAGGTCGGACACGGCAAGACTGAACAGATAGTAATTGGTGGCCGTGTGCATGTACTTATTCCGGGCGATCACTATGCACGTGCTCACGTTGCCCACGATGCCCGTGGCAAATATCAGAGTGTAGATGAGCGTGACGGGCACGACAACCGGTAGTGAGTCTCTTCTCGGGCCCCACGGGTCATCGTTTCGATTGTAGTTGTTGCCGTAGCTATTTCAAACCAGAAACACGGATGGACGTCAATAAGATTAATAAATAATAATAATACATGTATAGATTGGTGTAATTTTAGGGGGTGGGGAGATACACGACGGTGCACTTGCACCGAAACTGGATACTGAATTGTCAAATTTTTCATAAACTTATTTAAATATTTTGTTATTACTGTAATTAATTTCATATAAATATTATTATCGACMATGGTACATAAACACCATATACGATGTTTAAAATTTATAGATTTTGATATTTGTTTATGTTTTATTGTTATCAAATATAAAAAGATAGGTACTATAGTACACGCGAGCAAAGCGATTAGCTTTAAATATGACTTAATTTGTCATTACGATTATTGGACAGATAAAAGTTTTGCAGCTGCTGAATTTTAATGATGGGATTACGCCAATGAATATATAAATAAATAACACAAAATGTTGATGACTAAAAATCAAGTGATGATAACAATTGTTGAAATTATTAAAGTAATAATAATAAACAAAATATTTTTAGCGTATACCTACGCCATCGCCGTGCGCGTGATTACCTATATAGCTATATAGTCGAGCTCTGCTGTGAGTCTATGACTGTATAAGCGTTCGATAGAGATTAGGTATTCACAATTAAATATTTTTATGACTTTTTATTAACTTTCAAGGCTGTAAATATTGTATCGAAAATCGAAAAAATAAAATATCGCTGYCGATTTGTCACGTGCGATTTGCGCCATAAGATTGTTAAAAGTCAGCAGACCGAAACTCTGTCTGAAAATAAAATATTAGGTATAAGTTTTGGCATTCCAGCTCATCGTAAAAATAAAAATAATATAAAACCTAAAATATGGTGATCGATCGAGTTTGAATAGTATGGTGGCATCACGGTATAAGTTTAAGTTTTTGATTTAAAAAGTGGAACTKCATTTTCATACAACGGTGAGCATGCGAAATGGTTATATTATATCGATATCTAATTGATGGTTTTATTGATATTAGAAATTATACTTTTATCGGTCTGTCTCCGTCGAAAGCGATATGCTATGATACTACAGTGCTGCGGTGGTCACAGTATACAACAGTTATGTACTCATGCATATTGAATATAGAGTATAGACCATCCGAAGTTAACTTTTATCACTAAAATATTCACATAATCACYCTCTAGATTTAATTKAAATTGGAAGAGCAACGACATTACTATCCCTCTCAAATAAAATTAACTATAAATAGACTCAACTGATTTGTGTGCTCACGTTTTTCGTTTAATGATATTATTAATATTTTTTATATTCAGCTGATATGGTAATACACAAAGATGATTAATCTAAATATCGCCAGTAAAATATCAGGCTCGAGTTTAACCTCTCAACAGAGCGATATAACAAAATAATAATATTCACTACACAAAATGGTTCAGAATTTTTTACTATAATTTCGTTTAAAATGTGAAAAAATTTGAATGAAAATCTTCACAGATATCGCACAATTCAATCAGAATACGGAAATTCTGTCTACCCAAATCATATTCCTGATAGGAAATCTTGAATTTAGAATTCGCAACCGCAGTAAAAAGGTAATTCATCATTACAATTTCTAAAATTGTCTGCCATTTGGCTGTGTCTTCACGATTATCATGTTAAATTTGCGCTGATAATACCTATCGTATAAGTAGATATTAGGTACTTTCTATTTTTTTTTTTTTTAAGGCTCAAAATCATATGAAAGTTTTTGTTAACAATGTACTGGAAGTACGTCAGTTATATTGAATGACAGTAATAATTTCAAGGTAGGTAATTTATATAATCATCTAAAATTACTTATTTAATTCAACGCCCAAATTCTGTTCATAATAGTATTAGTAAATTGAAGCCAAGTGTTGCTATACATTTACAAATAACGTTTAAATTTATATACATTTAAAAGATATTTTATATGTGATAAGTTGAAAAAATAAAATAAAATCTACCTTTTAAATTTATTAATAATTGCACATAGTTCAGTTATATTTAGCATGATAGGACTCCAAATAAGGGGAAAGTATTAAATATTATCATTTCTTCACCAATATTATCACTATGATTGCTACTACTCTGCTCTAAGAGACGTCACTTACTGTAATGGATTTTCCATGACTTTAAAGCTATCCAATTTGTGATTTACTAAACATTCATTTTTAATAGTATCTAAGCGGCCCTTACACTACTTAGTACTTTCTATGYATTTCCACAAGTCGAATACGTTAAGTACATATTATTGTCTTATAATTAGTCAATTTTATAATTAAAAATCTGTATGATAAGAATATCATAATGGTAATATTTACAGATAAAGTCAAAGAGAATAAAAGTAACTTTTCGTTAAGTGTAGATCTTATGTTACTCCAGGCACTGAAATTGTATAGTCCTAAGTATTATTTAATTGATTTTGTATTGGATAACATTATAATAACATATGTTTTCATTTTAATTGAATAGGTACCCTTTGAATCATCATAATTCGCATTTTTAAGACCTATAATACTAATTATTCCGTCCGCAGCCTGARATTAAGAAATCGCCGATGAGAGAGTAATGAAATCTAATAGGKACAAAAAGATTTATTTCCGGATACAAGTTACAACAATGCATCCAAATCCTAATTGTAACACCATAAGTCCGTAAACTATATTCATACCTATTGAATATTACATTTTTGGTTTRTCTGCGTGAAAATCTATCACTCTCTTAATCTCTTATAACATGTACTTGGCCTCTGGTTGTAAAAATATTGCACAGTAGTTTCAGAAACGTACTGTAATTTAAGATTAAAAATATACGGTGCATATTATGTCTACAAACGTTCAATGTAATTAAATATAYTCGTAATTAGTAGGTATGACATCATAATAATGACTGCATAATTCCTTCTTTTTGAATTTAAATTTTATTTGAATCAAAGTTAATTCTGTCCAAACAATTATCTTATTATGTTTAAATCCTACCCTAAAATTTGCACAATTTTGCTTGGGTTTTTTTTTATTTTACGTACATGGCGCTTGTTTGTGGTTCATTTTAGAGTTTCTATTTTAAAAGTAAAATAAATGTCATCCTAACATTGTTAAATTTTTATTATTTATCTAATTATGGAGCTCATAAGTAAATTTACAATTATTATAATTTTATTAAAAAATTAGCRTATGTCATAAATAAACAAAATTCTGTGATCATGATCCTAATTTTTAAAGAAAATAGTTGAAATAGCAAGTGACAATTTAAGTGATTATAAATCAGATTCGGAAACACATAAAAGAAAATTGAATATTTTTTACCAATTATGTTCTTATTTTTAATATAATTTATACATACATGTTGAATGGAGTTTAAGAAGGCACGATTTTATATTCGTTACCTAAATGAATATTAAAACAATATTTTTGACGATCTAAATATCATCGTACCCCATTATGTGTGACTGCTGTGGCATTTATGAGCTCTGTGTACGTATATGTTTTTATCCTATTTGAATTATGCTTAGTTAAGTAGTCACCTATTTAAATGTTTTATTATACAAGCGTGTTTACCTTATGTTGTCACTGTATAAGGTGTTATTCCTCAAATTTTCTTCAAACAGCATACTAAAAAATGCAGTACGACTGATACATTATTCAAACCACCATCGCACTAGAAACCCTGCAATAAAGTATAATTTAAATAAATATATTATTGTACATAATCACTRCATTAATATATTTCGTACGTTATAAATAAAAAAGCACTCTCTATTTTCAGCATCGAGCTTTGGAATGTCTTTGTCCATGTAAAATAGTAAGTTATACTATTATTTTTTTTTTAAAT